TTCTTTGGCGAGAGAATTCAGGCCATACGTTTCCTAATGTAGAGCACCAATTCTGTCTGCCCAGTTAGACAAAGTTGAAAGGGCACCCTCCAAAATATCTGAAATTGTCATTAGAAATTTACCACCAACCAGCAAGAATACATCATCGGCATACGCTACAACCTTTATCTTAAAATGATCAAACTTCAGCAGTATCTCATTTATAACCAGAAGCCACAGAAGGGGACATAGTACTCCTCCCTGTGGTGTGCCTCTCTCCTAAGGATGAGCTGATAATTCTGCTTTCCAGCATTCTATCTATCGAGAGCAGAATGAATGGCTTCTAGCCTCACATTTTAAAAACTTCCTCAATATCGAGGAACGCTGCGAAATGAAAGTGTAGCCAGAGGACCACCTCATGTACGGCTGTATCCACTGATTTGCCTTTGATGTATGCATGCTGGGAGTTACATTCTTTGAAAGTTGACTTTCAAGTCAAATTTCCGAACTATTTTTCGAATCCAAAACAATATATAAATTTTTTTTCTGCGTCTGACTTATATATGCATTTCTGAATATTTTACTATGGCATCTATTATGAATTTTGATAATTCAATTTACAATAAATATATTTACAAAATAATTTCATATTACTGTCCACAAAATCAAATAATATTGATATAATAATTATAATAAAGAAACTTTAATAGAAAAATATATTGTATTATATTTAATAAACAAATAAATAAAACATTATTTTAAAAACAATTGAAAATAAATGAATTTAAAAAATATATGTTTATTGAATTTTGTTTATTTTGGACGGTGAGTGTATTTTTTTTATATACAAATACAATTGCAATACAAATACAAGTGTTTGAAGTAATGCCGGTAGGCACGTTTTCAACCAAATAGCTGCAATTTTATATTTCTTGAGTAGAAAATCTCCGTACCAAAAAATGATAAATATTGTTACATGTCCACCCATATTACAATCACTCCCATTAGTCTGTAATTAGGCACGTTTTCAAATCTAATTGGTTGTGATTAGATATTTTGGATTCTCATTTAGTGACAAATCATTCTACAAAAAAAAAAAAAAAAAAAAAAACAGTAAGGAAATTTTGAAGTTTGGAGGGGTTTACTTCAGCTTTGGGTATGTACAAGAGATGCTCTTTTTAAGATACAGTCAGATATATACTGATATTAACCAAGTACAACATACGTCCTTTTGATAGAATAAACGCAGCACATTTTGGCGACCATTGACTTGAAGTCGGACAAAATTAAATATGTGATCTATAAAGATATATGTATGCAGCTATTATAATCAATCCATATACATGTCATACTGAAATCTATGCTAAATTTCATATCAATTGGGCTGACTAAGGGTCTTTGCTGTACCATTTATATGAAATCGGACAAATTATGTATAAGGGCTACATATAAATCAGCTTCGGCTTGAAGGAAAATTAGCATATAAGTCGCCTTGTCAAAAAAAAAAAAAAAATGGGTAGAAAATATTAAGTTGGGGAAAAAGAAGCCTATTTTTATATGAAATATATGCTTCGGAATGTCCGATTTGAATCAAATATGCACCGTTTTGTTGTATGATTTGTTGCAATTTTAAAGGTAACTTCATAATGCCTCTCCCATAGAAGTCCTGCTATCTATTTGCAAAAAAAAAAAAAAAAAACTCTAGTAGTCGATTTTCACAATCCTCCCTAGATCCCTAGATTTTTTATCATTAAAGAAATTTTGAAATGAAAAAAAAACGATGATAATCGCTTGGTGTCAAGCTCCCGAAATTTCTGGCGAGTTACTGTAGATGTGTGTGGCCTGGCGTTGTCCTGGTGGAACACGACACTACTCCTGTTGACCAATTCTGGCCAATTGCTACGGTCCAGTAGTTGACAGTAGAGATCAGAATTTAGCGTTTGGCCATATGGAAGCAACTCATAATAAAAAATCCCCTTCCAGTCCCTCCAAATGCATAGCAGAACCTTCCTGGCTGTTAGTCCTGGTTTGGCCAATGTTTGAGGTGCTTCACCGCTCTTTGACCACGATCATTTTCGCACAGGGTTATCATATGTGATCCATTTCTCATCTCCAGTCACTATCCGTTAACAAATGGGTCTATTTCATTCCGTTTGGCCAAGGCTTCGCAGATGGAAATTCGATCCATCCTATCGAGCTTCTTTTCAAATCCAGCTTTGTGTAAACAACAGTTTTATAGTCGATTTTTAGCTCCTGGGCGATGTTACGACTGCTAACATGCCGGTCAACTTCGATCATTTCTCCGATTTTATCGACATTTTCATAATGGATTTCTTTTTTTCCAACCAAATATTTCGGTCACGTTCTGATACAGTACATAACTGTAGCTCCCATTTTAGCAATTTTGAAGGTTATATCCGCGTTTTGCACCCGAAACAGCAGTAATTTGGTATTCCGGATTTTTGGTGGGTGGTGGACTATTTGATAACCAAAAGGTGGAGTGTATATTAAATTTTTCATTCCGTTTGCAACACCCGTCTGTACGTCCGTCCGCCATGTATTTTTGTGAACAAGGTACAAGTCGCATTTATAATCCGATTTGGATGAAATTTGGAACAGTTGACTTATTTGGCCCAAGGACGATCCGTATTGAAATTGGAGAAAATCGGTTCAGATTTAGATATAACTAACATATATATTTTCGTCCAATTTTATTTAAATGATGCACCAAACTCCCAATATTTGTTCGATTGAGACAAAATTTTACACCGAGTACTGAATTAGGTCCAGATTGATGCAAAGTTTTGTTAAAATCGGTTCAGATTTCGATACATCTCCCATATATAGTTTCGTCCGATTTTAGGTAAATGGTGCACCAAACATCCAATATTTGTCCGATTGAGACAAAATTTGTCAGAATGACATGTGTATGGTTTTTTATTGGTACAAATATCTATGTAGATCAGATTTTTTTCTATCCGATTCCATGTCAATTATCATGTATCTTCTATCAAAAGGATATTGTACACATTTTCATCTCTTGTATGTATCCAAAGTAGTGAAGGGTATCATATAGTCGAAGGGTATCATATAACATTTTCGACGACTGGCCTAATGGATTTCTTTTTCTACAAAATAATATTTTGAAAATTTGTCCGATTTCATTAAAATTGTTCAAATCGTAAGATGAGTTTAATCTGGAAAGTCATAACAAAGACTAACATTTTTGTAAATCGTATACGAAGCAAAAATCCAAATTGATTCAAACGTTGTCCATAGTAATATTTTTACAGAAACTTGAATAGTTCCTTGGTACCGTTTGGACAAGTCTGAATATTTCTTCGTTGAAATGTATTGTTTTCCAACAAAGGAAATGGGCTCTTGTTGCGGTATCGTTTTGCAATTTTGTAGCAGGTATTTTCACAATACGTTTCCTGATATTTACATGAATGCTGCATAACTGACCAACCAACTGACCGAGGTGTTGGTCGACTTATCGCAGATGGTTGTCACTTGAGCGCATTGACCTGCACATTCAGAGTGGCATTTCATGTGGTAAACAATACTGCCCATAGATTCCATACATTTATTATTTGATACTAGATTGTCGGTTACAGGTGTATAACTGTGTGTGTGTTTGTTTGTCTTATCATAAATGCCCTGCTGTTTACTCTGTCCATATATATATACCCCATTATCAATTTCATATCTCTATGTAAATACAGGAAATTCCAATAAATACCCCGACATCGTTTCAATTTCACATGCATTCGTTAAAAAAAGTGTTGATAATTACCGCACGACTAATAACCAGTGACGAAAGCGGAATAATGACAAAAATATGTGTTGATCGAAATTAGCTGATAAGCTTTTTGTAATAACTATATACCTCTTATCTATATATGGGGTAAATAGAGATGACAAATAGAAAACACTAAGTTAAATACATACAATCGAGAAGAATTTGTGGTTTTTATGCAAATTATAATTTTTTATTTTGTTGTTTCTTTTTTTAAAACTACGTTTTTGTTTGTTGTTTTTTTGTATAAACAAATATTAGATTAAATAATTTTTATATGTATATAATTTTTAAATACATTAGATTTTGTATTTTTTTTGTTTGTTATTTGTTTTCAAATTATGTTTTGTGTGTGTCCGTGTGTCTGTTGTGTTTTATTTTTATTTTATTGCAAAATATTTTTTTATTTTAATTGAATTTGGTTGCTGTTTTCATCTTTTTTTCTCTAAGAAAAAAATTAATTTTCTTTTCACTCACAATTTTCTGTTTTTTTTTAATTATTTTTAATAAATTTGTTGTATGTTTATTATGTATGTATATGTTTGTAGTATTAAAGCATTTTACAGAAAAAATAATAATAGCAGCTAATTTTGGCTTTGAGGTTTCTCTGATTGCAGTTTTGTTTGCTTGCCATAATTATAAGTGTTGTTGTAAGGAAACCACATTTCTTCTTTTCATCTGATAAACAAAAGTCTTGTGGTTAAATTATTCTTATTTTTGTTTGCTTGCAATAAATTAATATAATAATAAAATTATAGGCATTGTTATGATAATTATTTTTAAAACTGGAATTTAGCTATTTCTTTGTTTTGTAGTCATCTTCGTCATCAGCATCATCATCTTCTTCGTTTCAGTTGTGGTAGTTTTATCATGGAAAGTCAAGAAGTCCTTTGAGAATTTTTTTTTAATATAAGCTAAATATTAAATGATTATTATTAATAATAATAGGATAATGACTATATAATAAAAATTAAATAGGCAAAATAAATGTACATATAGAAACACAGAAAAAATGGTAACATCACTGCTACTAATTTTTTTTATTGGTTTCATTTTTTGTTTGTTTATTGACGGCACTTTTCAAAACAACACTTTGCTGCTGTCCTTTTTAGCGTTATGTATATAAATATAATTATTTTTGTTGTTGTTTTGCTGTTCTACATAATAGCTAAACTATTTTAACGTCTAATGTTTGAAAATGATTTTTGTTGTATTTTAAATTTTAACGCTTATCTTTACGTTGATTTTTACGCTGTTTCGATTTGGATGGTGATGTGACACTCTTCTCGGGTGAGGAATCTGAAAAAAAGTCAAAATAATTAGAAAAAATGTATTTGTTTATATATACATAAAAAAACATAACCGTTACGAAAACTTATAAGGCGGTCAAACTGAAAAATTCATAGACATCTGTCAAGGAAATTGTCTCCATTTTAAATTTATTTCAACAAAAGGGGAATCTAGCCTTAATGCTAGATCGGTTCCTGAAACCACAATACATCAACTCCAACCAGGAATAGATTTATCGATAGTTTTTCCACCCTTGCCCACGATCATAAAAATAAATGAAACTACATATATAGGATGTCTATGTAGGGAAAATGTTACAATGCGGACCATTGTTTCCATTTGTTTCAACCATTTTCATAAAATCGGACGAAACTATATATGTGAGATATATCTCAATCTTGACCGATTCCAATAAATATAAATAAATTCCAATAAAACTTCACATATATCAATCTGGACCTAACCTGTAGTAACTTCAATACGCTATGCAAAATTTTGTCTAAATCGGACAAACATTGGCAGTATGGTTCACCATTTACATCAAATCGGACTAAATTATATATGGGAGCTATATCTAAACCTGAACCGATTCCAATAAAACTTCGCATACATAAATTTGGACTTAATTTAGTACGCTGTCCAAAAATTTTCTGCCAATCGGCCTAAATTTGACTATTTGGTACATCATTTACATAAAATCGGACGAAAATATATATGGCAGCTATATCTAAACCTGAACCGATTCCAACAATCCAGTATGCTGTGCAAAATTTTGACTCAATCGGACCAATATTGGGATTTTACATAAAATCGGACGAAACTATATATGCGTTCTATATATAAATCTGAACAAAACGTACATAAACTCATAGTTTAGTACTCTGTGTAAAATTTTGTCTCAATAGGACCAATATTGAGAGTATGGTGCTCAATTTACATAATATTGGACGAATTTATATATGGGAGTTATATCTAAATTTGAACCGATTATCTCCAATTTCAGTAGAGTTCGTCCTTGGGCCAAATAAGTGACATGTGCTAAATCTCATCCAAATCGGATCATAAATGTGACCTGTACTTTGTTCACAAGAATACATGGACTGACGGACGGACAGACAAACATTCATAAATCGACTCAGAAGGTGATTCTATGTATATTCTCTATCTTGTTTCCTTTTGCCAATATTCGTCATTAACTCTCGAGCTCTTCAAGCTCATTCGGTTCTTCTACAGGAGGAATATGAACAAATTCGCCAATATGCCACATGGTCTATGGAGATGAGTATGCCACATGATGTGCAGGTCGATGAGCATACCATTCCGGCTACCGATCTTTCTTTGTTTCCTGTTCTATATTCTTCTAGGTTCATTCTAAAACTAAATTGTATTCAAAAATAGTTATTTAATAATAAAACAATTATTTTTTAAAATTAAATTTACGATTTTGAAGAAGGTACTGCCGCGTATATAGATTTTATGTTGACAATTGTCTATTATATTAACATCACATTTTATAGAAAATTTTCCCAAGTACAACATTTTTTTTTTCTTTCAAGGACTATTTCCAAATTATTCTTCTAATTCCTCATATAATACATTTAAATTTGTTTATTGCGAGAAGTCTTACATATAGTTTTAATTCTTGAAGTTTTGTAACTAGCTTTCAACAGTTCGATTCTTGATATTGAATTTGAGAATTTAAACAAACAATTGTAATTTCTAAAAGTTCATAAAGTAATTAAAATATAAATATATAATTTTATTTAATTAACTATTTCAATTTACCATTCTCATCTTGTGTTGTTGATTCATTGTTACTGTTGATCGTTTCCACCTCCCTCTTATCGGCTGCGTTTTCATTCGCCACCGCAGTTTCTGTTGATGAATTTGAATCTTCTGGCTTATCACCATCCACAGCCTTTGTTGCTGATGTCTGATTTTCTATTGTGCTTTGTTGTTCCGATGCAATGAGGCTTTGTGTTTTATCAATTGTTGTTTCATTTCTCGCCACCATTTCTTTTTCTACACCTACTGCTGTCACCAGTGTTTTATCATCTTCCTCCGCCGCCTCCTCCTCATTAAGTACTGGTTCTATTTCAACTTGAGCCATTTCTTTAATGCCATTTACAAGACTTGCGATTTGTTCATTCGTTGCATCCTCTTTGGCCTCGACAGCTTGGGCTGCAGCTGCACGCTCACGTTCCAAACGTTCACGATATTCTCGCAAACATTTTTGTTCCCATTCTATGTGTTCTTTATAATACTGATAGACGGGTATCACAATCACAGATATATCATCAACAGTGGCGGCGGCTTTGCTATCGGCCAAACGCCAGTGGCCATAGTCGTTGATTTTGCCACGTGCCTTGGCAACCAGCTCCTGAGCAACCATTGTATAACGATGTTTTTCGGTTGGATATTTGTGTAGAGTTTGGAAAACGGTACGAGCTACAGCCTCGTTTTCGGAAACATCCCATAGGCCATCGGTGGCCATGACCAAAATGCCATAATCACCATCTTCATTTTGTTCTTCTGTAATGATAGAGAGCGAGAGATAATGAGTGATCCTAAAAGTATGCAATATTTTCTGTGTGAGCTTACCTGGAATGGTTACAATTTTTGTGAGATCTCTGTACTTAACTTCCGGCTGTGCAGTAAGGAATGGTTTAATTAATGTTCCAGTGGCAATGGCCAATAGATCGTGATCACCAAATCCCCGTGTCACTCCAAGTGTTCCCAAAAGCCGCGAACGTTTACCTTCCCCCGTTACCACGGGCATTTTTAAGTCTTCTCGTGTCAATGTCTTGTATGTCCATCCCTTCATGGTGCCCTGGCGACACAGGATCCGCTGACCTAAATCACGTTCATGGGGACGTTTGGCATACTCCATGGCAGTATAGAATTTACCCATTAAATGTGGTTTATATTGAGCTACACCCAGTAGACGTGTGCGCTCCGTCTCTGGGGTGTGATCGAAGGAAAAGGGGACGGGAAAAGCTCCCTCCGAACCATCTGGTTGGGCTGGCATTTCCTCTTTGGGTAATACCTTGCGTTGACACAACACCGCTCGACTGTCGCCAGCATTTGCCACATACATTTTACCATTTATGAAAAGGGAGACGCAGGCTGTACAGCCACCAGCATCACGATAGCGATCCCTATCTTGGGCTATTAATGAATCCATGTGGACGAAGGCCGATTCCAGGGCCCCCATAATTAGTTCATCTTTGGAGACGGTTCTTTGAAAATGGCTGGGGTGGGGAAAGGAGTTTACCGATTGTGTTGTGGCATTAACTTTGGGGTCTTCCATGCCCTCACGTGGCAGTAGCAACTCAATGCAGTCAACCAATTTCTCATGTAAAATATGATGGAATTGATGGGAGGCAGCCAAGGCTGCTCCATATCCGGCATGACCATCAAATATACCAAAATAGGTGTAGGGCAAGTCGGGGTATTGATGGGTGGGATCGGATAAAATTTGTCGGCAAAATGCTCCTTGATCCTCATTCCATTCGGATTTGCCGGAGTTAACACATTCCGCATATCCCGTACCCCAGGGCAAAATGCTGATATCTCGCGGCACAATTATCGGCCGTACATTGTGATCGGCAGAGGCCTTCAACTCGTCGGGTGTTAAGAGCTGCAAGAAAGGTGGGCGGGAATAGGCAAATTTATCCTGTAACTGTTGTTGGTGTAGCATTCGCTGATGGTATGCGGAACTACCCCTAACCAAATGTTCATGGCTGGTGGAGGATAATGCCGGCATATCCGGAGCTATGACCGTTGCCAAAAAACGACTTTTAATATTGGCAAACATGCTGCTGCTGATTGGATGGGTGGAACACCAATTTACTTAACTCTGCTGATGGCGATACTTCGAAAATCACACACAGGCGCAACGAAACACACATAGACATACGTCGTCAGTGCTGAACAAAACAGATGTCAATCGTGTTTTGTATTTCTTTGTTTTGATATTTCTATTTATTCTTTGTTGCCAATCACACCAACCAAAACATTGTTGTCACCTTAGAACTTTGCTGCTTCTATCCACTGGCTGACCAACCAACCCAGCGATTGACTGGCCTGACTAACTGGTGGTGTGAAAAATGACGTATTGAATATTGGCGCTGCTGCAGCTCAACACCAAATGAAAAGAAACAAGAATGGTTGGTTGGAGAGGGTATGTCGTTATCGTCGTCGTTAACGTTTCACCGGGAGGGAGGAATGTTAGCCGCTACTACAAAACTTCGTCGACGTCAACGTTGTTGTTGTTGTTCTTGGCTTTAGTCACAGACACCTCGAATAAGATTTTTATCATCTATTTCATTTGTTTAACTTATTATTCTTTTCCACTGGCCACGTAAACAATTTTTTCGTTGCTTTTAGTTAACGTTATTAACTCTGTTTACTTTTTCCATTTAATAGTTTTTTGGAGGGCTTTACAATAGAAAAAATCCAATAAGAAATGAATATTTTATCTTGTGGCCGTTGTTGTTGTTTTCCTTCTTCTTTTTTTTGTTGACGGCTAAGAAAATCAATATTTCTCTTTGCTTAATATTTACATGTTAATTTTTATGGTATTTCTTTAATTTGTATTGCTATTTCTTAACACTATTAATAATTTAGTTTAATCTGTTTAATAAATATTGTTTTTTTTATTTTAGAATGTGTGATATATATTTTTTCTTCTTTATCAAATCTTGATTTCTTTTGCAATGAACTAACTTTTTTCCGTTCTGTCTGTCCTCTCTATTAACTTTGCAATGCTATGTGTAAGCAACTGTGCATGATAGGGAGAAAAAAACAGAGAGTACCATTTTATTTCAACCATGTTCTCATGCAAACTTAATGTCGTGTAGTTAGTGAAGCTACGTAACGTAAAGCTATTTAATTGGTGTTGTAGCTACGTTTAAAGGGATTTTTTAAAAAAAATGTTTATATTTGTCGTTGTAATAAACAAAAATCGATATAGGCGTATAATTTTTTTTAATTTAATATAAAATATATTTAAATTTAATATATATTCTATTTCAAATAACTGTCTCTTGAGAGTATAACTAGTGACGTATCGTAACGCATTACTTTGACAATAGTGACTAATACTATAATACCAAACGAAATCGTTGGCAAAAATTTTTTTTTTATTATTAAACAAATATTAATAACACATTTTTCTATATGAATGAGGAAGTTAATATAAGTAAATAAAATCTTGAAAAATATTATTTTTTCATATTATTACTGAATTATTTTTTGGAAAGTAAAATTTAATACTGAATAAAAAAAAAACAATTTGGTGGTCATTAAAATCGTAGGAGTTTTATTTTTTTAACTATTCTGCTAAGATAAATTTTAATTTATTTTACTTTTTTCTACTTTTAGAGTTCTATATATAATAATAATTTTGTATATCAAGTAACTTATATATTTAAGTAAATATTTTGTTTTAATTCTGTTATATTTTAAAGGAAATTTTTATTTTCTTTCTTGCAGATCCAAAAATGCTGAATTGCAGGACATCATCATTAAGTCAAATGCAAATGGCTTGGCCTTGGACCCAGAGAAAATTGATCAGTATATGAAGGCAATGTCAATGGCTGGAAGTGAAAAGGTTTGTGAAATATATTTTTAAAAATTTCCGCCCCTATTGGTTCTTAAAATAAGTTTTTTTTAAATCCAAATCAAATCCACCCCTCAGTTGGTTGTTGAAAAATTATTTTTTTAAAAATCCAAATCAAATCCACGCCTCAGTTGGTTGTTGAAAAATTATTTTTTTAAAAATCCAAAATCAAATCCACAGTTGGTTTTGAAAAAAATATTTTTTAAAAATTTAAATCAAATCAAAATATTTTTTTAAAATCCACGCCTCTGTTGTCTCTAGAAAAAATATTTTTTTAAAATCCACGCCTCTGTTGTCTCTAGAAAAAATATTTTTTTAATAATCCATAAAAATATATTTTGAAAATCCACGCCTCTGTTGGTTCTTGAAAAAATATATTTTGAAAATCCACGCCTCTGTTGGTTCTTGAAAAAATATATTTTGAAAATCCACGCCTCTGTTGGTTCTTGAAAAAATATATTTTGAAAATCCACGCCTCTGTTGGTTCTTTGGGAAAATATTTTTTTAAAATCCACGCCTCTGTTGTCTCTAGAAAAAATATTTTTTAAAAATCCACGCCTCTGTTGGTTGTTGAAAAAATATTTTTTAGAAATCCAAATCAAATCCACGCCTCTGTTGTCTCTAGAAAAAATATTTTTTTAAAATCCAAATCAAATCCACGCCTCAGTTGGTTGTTGAAAAAATATTTTTTAAAAATTTAAATCAAATCCACGCCCCTGTTGGCTTTAGAAAAATATTTTTTAAATATCTACGCCTCTGTTGGTCCTTAAAAAAATATTTTATTAAAAACCACGTCTTTATTGACTCTTAAAAAATTATATTTTTTAAAAAATTTTAACACATTTTTCTTCTAAATTTTTATTACAGGAAACCAATGACAAATTGGCTGCCATGTGGATGTATGCTGCTGCCCAAAATGGTACAATGGGTACACCAAAACCCAAAATGGCCCCCAATGGAAGACCTGTTATGTTGATACCAGCATCTGGAAGCGTAAGATAAACAAATAATCTTTAATATATACCACTTTGAAACATTTTCTAATTATTTTCCCTTCTCTTCCCCGCACACAAAAGATGACACCATCTATGGTACCACAACCAATGCTACCACCACCCGCAATGGCTCCAACTATGGCACCAGCTCCCGCATATCGTGGCGGTATGACTTTACCCATGATGAGAACTGCTTCGATGCCCATCATCTATGGACCACCACCAGCCCTTTATGCTGCAAGTATGCCCGCCCCTAGTATGACCGGAACTTATCGTACACAACGCAGTACAAAATCAATTGATGCGCGTAAGAAACGTCGTGCTGCTGGACAAATTTTACGTTCGGGTAAATCTGATGCCAATCGTCGTCAACGTCGTAAATCTGATGCTGATGTCATTGATGGCAACCCATCGTTTCAATATACCGGTTTAGATCGTGCTATAGCTGATAATTTTTTGGCTCGTCAGGAACAACAGACACATGTGGGACATAATGACTATTCGTCATCGTCTGGTGCTAGTGACACATATGGACAAACGACAATGATGAATGGCGGTGGTGGTAATGGTCCTTCGAGAGCATCGTCAAAAACGAAAATAGTTTGTCGTGATGTTGTTATGTAAGGTGGCGGGTGAGATGCAACTTCGATCCCCATTTTTTTAGGGTATTTAGTTTTATAGTTACTTATATAGGGATACATATTAATATATAATCTATAATAATCTATCTATTGTATATAGTTTTTAAGCTTCCAAAAAGCAACAACATTATAAAAAATAAACTAATCTATTCAAGATTTATCAAGGATATATATTTTTTATAACCTTCTAATATTAATATTGAAATATGTATTTCTTTAACTACATATATCATACATATATTAAAATTATTAATACTTTAAATACTAAATCAAAACAACTATGTATATTTATATAAAATTATTACAAATATTAAATGAAAAATATAATAATCAAACTAAATGAATTTCAATATTATTTAATAAATCCAAATTTATTTTACAAATAAATAAATAAATGAAAAATATAATAATCAAACTAAATGAATTGAAAAAAATATTATTTAATAAATCCACGCCTGTTTTGGTCCTTGAAAAAAATATTCTTTGATAAATCCACGCCTGTTTTGGTCCTTGAAAAAAATATTCTTTAATAAATCCACGCCTGTTTTGGTACTTGAAAAAATATTCTCTAATAAATCCACGCCTGTTTTGGTCCTTGAAAAAAATATTCTTTAATAAATCCAGGCCTGTTTTGGAACCATGAAAAAAACATTCTTTAATAAATCCAAGCCTGTTTTGGCCCTTGAAAAATATTTTTTAATGAATCCACGCCTGTTTTACTTACTTAGCTGGCTTGTGACAGAACTTTCGTTCCATAAGCCGAGCTTAAAAAAGATTTTCATGCGCGTCGGTCAGTTTTTCCAATTTGAAAGACCATATTCGGTAATGTTATGTTCCACTTGATCTTTCAGTCTTATTCGTGGCCTTCCCCTTCTGCGTAAACCATCGGCTGGTTCGCTTTTATATGCCTTCTGGGCTGGAGCATCTTCATCCATTCTCACAACATGACCTAGCCAACGTAGTATTAGCAGCTCAATACGTCTAACAATGTCGAAGTCCGAGAATAGCTGGTACAACTCATGGTTCATTCGACGAGGATATTTACCGTCAACGCAGATCGGCCCATAAATCTTTCGGAGAATTTTTCTCTCAAACACTCCAAGAGCTGCCTCATGGTTCATTCGACGGTGATATTCACCGTCAACACAGATCGGCCCATTGATCTTTCGGAGAATTTTTCTCAAAGAGTTGCCTCATTTGCTTGCGCAAGTACCCATGCTTCAGATCCATATAACAGCGTCTTGTGGAGTGTGAATTTGGTCTGGCGGGAGGTGGCCTTGCTTTTGAGTACCATCTGTTGGCCATCACTATCCTTCTCCGATTTTCAAAACTGATGTCATTCGTTTTATTTATGTGCGTACCAAATTACATAAAATCTTTTACTACCTCAGAACGGTAGTTCTCAAGTTCCACAGTTAGTCCGAGTCTACTGGACGTCTTGAGCGTTGATACCAACAGCTTGATCATCTCGCCGTTTACTGCCAGACCCACTTTGGCAGACTTCTTCTCAATTTGTTCAAAGGTGGTTATTACGCTCTCAATGTTCAACACATTATGTCGATGTCATCGGCGTAGGCGAGTAACATGTGTTGTTTGGTGTACAGAGTGCCATTTCTGATCAATTTTGCCTCTCGAATGACCTTTTCCAACAGGATGTTAAAAAGGTCACACGACAAACTGTCACCTTGTCTGAATCATCGTTCGATATTAAAGGGCTCCGAGAGGTCCTTTCCGACTTTAACTGCTGATCTTGTGTCAGTTAAAGTTATCCTGCATAGCCGTATTAATTTTGCAGGAATTTTGCAGGCTTTATACACCTCTGAACAGATAAGGGCTGTCGAATGCGGCTTTAAAGTCGACGAATAGGTGGAATGTGTCGATGTGTTTTTCGTGGGTTTTTTTTCCAAGATTTTGTGCAGAGTGAAAATCTGGTTGATGTGTTTTCCAGGATATGGTGCAGAGTGAAAATCTGATCAATGGTGGATTTGCCAGGTCTGAAGCCGCATTGGTATGGTCCAATAATGTCATTGACCATTGGCTTCAGTCGTTCACACAGTACGCTGGATAGCACTTTATATGCGATGGGAAAGAGACTTATTCTCTATAGTTGGCACATATCATCTTGTCTCCTTTTTTTGTGCACGGGACACAGGATGCTGAGGTTCCAATCATTGGGCATGCATTCCTCTAGCCAAATTGTACTAATCAGCTGGTGAATGCTCCTTACCAGCATCTGACCACCAGTCTTGAATAGTTCGGCTTGTAACCCATCGGCTCCTGCTGCTTTATTGTTCTTGAGCCGATTAATTGCTTTTATGACCTCATCTTGGCTAGGTGGTATACACTCTATACCATCATCTCTGATTGGTTCTGGGTATCTTCTTCACCGCCACTATTTGACACCAGAAGTTTTTTGTCTGTATCTGTCACCAGGTTTCCTTACTTATCTCTCAAAGCCTTCGGTTTGGTATTTTACCCGTTGGTAGAATTTTCGGACTTCATTCTGACTCCTGTACATCTCGATTTGATCACGTTCACGTTTTTCTTGTTCTTTCTTATTTTTTCTGAAAATACGTTTCTCCTCTTTCCTTTTCTCCCGATAGTTCTCCATCGCATTACGTGTTGCTACTGTCGGCAGGGTTGCCCTATACGCTGCGTTTTTAATATCAGTAGCATTACGACACTCCTGATCGTACCACGGATTTCTTGATGGTGGTGTTTGGTACCCAAGTGTTGCTTTTGCTGAAGTTTGTAAGGAGTGGGTAATTCTCTGCCATTGTGCTTCTATATTATTATCGGGGTGCTTTCGTCAAGCAGTTGGGTAAGTTGAGCGGAGTACGCTTCTGCTATCTGTTGTGTTTGCAGCTTTTCGACGTCAAATTTCCATGTTACATTAGATCGCACCTTTGCTGCTACATTAACACGGGTACGTATCTTGGCTGCCACAATGTAATTGTCCGAATCGATATTCGCTCCTCGGATCGATCGGACGTCTAGAACACTGGATGAATGCCTTTCATCTATCACACCATGATCGATTTGATTCTCGTTGTTCGATCGGGAGAAATCCTTGTGTATATCGAGATGCTTGAATCTGGTGCTGCTAACTACCATGTTGTTTGCTGCCGCGAAGTCAATGAACCTCATGCCGTTGTCTGATGTTTCTTCATGGAGGCTGAATTTTCCGACGATGGGGCCAAAGATTTTTCCCTTCAGATTTTTGCATTAAAATCTCCTACCAGAATTTTAATGTCATGGCCAGGGCAACGATCATATGCTGTTTCTAGGCGCTCGTAAAATATGTCTTTGGTCTGTTCATCTTTATCTTCGGTCGGAGCATGGGCGCAAATGAGATTGATGTAGAAGAACTTCGCTTTTATACGGATTATAGCAATTCGCTCATCTACTGGAGTGAATCAGGAGAAGAGGTCTTTTTCCTCCTGTTAACCATAAATCATGTCTCGTTTCATTGCAGCTATAATACAGGGCGTAATCATCTGATTTACTTACGCCAGTTCTTTTCCATCACATTTCCTGTAAGGCAATAATATCGGATTTGTACTTCTTGAGTACATCCACCAAAGCGAACACTGCGAACGTTCCAATGCAGATTCGCAGATCGTGGTCCTTTATACGTTTGCGGGGGTCGTCAACATTAGGGGGTATGGTTTAGTTTTCTTTGTTTGCTTTTTCATAGTAGGTTGGATTTTCTGAGAGCGGGAAACAAACCCAACGCCTCAACCCGCTTTTTTATAATTCTTATTGGTGAACTCGCGCACATATTAGCTCACTATTTCATCGGGTGATGAAAATAGGTACCCCAGGTGGCACCACGGGGAGGTCAGTGTCCACAATTGAGATGAAAGAGGGACCAAGATAAGCCTGGACTTCGCCATGTTAAAGCCAATTAGAGCCGTTGCTTGGTATCTATCATCCCCACGCCTGTTTTGGTCCCTGAAAAAATATTCTTTAATAAATCCGCACTTCTTGAAATAAAACATTTGTTATTGTATATTTTTTTATATTTATTTATAATAATTTTTATTTATTCTTAATTATTTTGACAAATATTTTTTTTTGGTTTTTTGTTGTTTTTGTTTTTCTTCTTATTCTTGTTGTTGTTTGATAGAAATGGTGAATTGTCACACCCGCGTTTACCTATACGTGTGATGTATTTGTTTTTTATTATTATATTTATCTCATTAATTTTAAATTTATTTGTTTTTGTTGTTTTTTTCTCTTAAATTTATTATATAGTATTATTAATTATTATATAATATATAATAACTAAATTAAGTTTGAACAAAAGAGGTTGGAAAAAATTACACACAAAAAGTGTTGTTGAACGTAATCGATTCGAATGGAAAAAAAAGAGTGCGCGCGCTCTCTCCTATCTGTTGTCAAATTCACCATTGGGCATTCTTCGTTACTGGATGTAGGGTGCCAGGGTTGCCGTCGCCACGGCGGCAACATTATTAATTATTATATCATCGGATTGATGGTGGTAGTGATACTGCGGCTGTTGCTGATGCATAAATGACTGACGATTATAATTATTATTGTTGTTGTTATTATTGTTATTGTTGCTGTTTGAAATGCCTGTGCGCATAATATCAGTTGTGCTAATGCCCGGCGAACCCATGCCGCCGTTGCCAGTTCCAACGCCGCCGCCGCCAACACCACTACCGCCCGTAGCACCATTGTTAAAACTATTCGTGAGCACCTCTCCAAAACTTAGCTTGGTTAATTCAGTGGGGAACATATAGAAAATTAATAACATTGTGGCATAAACGAATACATGGAATATAATACAAAACCATATTAAATTTATCTGTGAAAGAGACAGAGAGAGAGAGAGAGATAAGGAAAAGAGAAAAAAAATCATTAACATCTGCTAAATTTTAATTTCAAATATCGAATGTTACCTTTGATTTACGCCGATATTTGGTGACACTAACGAATGGTACTAAAGCTATCGTTAGAATTATACCGCTGAATATACCCGCAAAAATACCGGCAAAATTCAGCTGCCATGGCAGCGTTCCAATAGCGAGGAGTATGGCGCCCATAAACATCAATTTGAACAGGGCCACATGTGGTTTATGTAGATGTTGCCAATGCGATAATATTAATAGTACCATCAGTGATGCTATAACACCCGATAACGATGCTAGTGGACCCACCTATAAAACAAATATCAAGATAAATACAAAATTGTAGTATGAAAATTATTATGGAAAATAATGGGTTTAAAAAGGACTATATTGTATTAGCAATGGAAATCTGACTACTAATTTCAGTTTTACGCGAGATTGTGTTTTTTAGCCAAATATGATATTCGAAGTCGATTCAAGTAATGATAGTACTAGCATAAGTAGATGCAGTAGAAAGGAGCTTTAGGTACAGAATTTTATCATTAAATAAATACTTGCTTTTGGATTTGCCACTCCATGTGGTGCTACTGCGTCTCAAATGAAATTAATAGGTTTTTAATTGAATTTTTTAAAATGAAATTTAAAATTTCAAAATCTTGAAATATTGTAAAACCCATATCCAGAGTCACTTATAAAAGGACGCAAACCAGATGTGGAATTTCTGGAAGCCTTCTAAAATTCTGGAAACTAGAAATATATAGACTTGTCGCCGATTTCGAAATATGAACAATATACTAGGTATTTAAAATTTACGGAATATTATTAACCTATCAAAATCTACAAAAATCCAACGTGCGGATGCTATGCAATAATGTTGAAAAGAAGAGTTCTTATCCATCCAAAAGTGGACTTACTTTTAAAATTTTCACACTCACTTTGAGACAAAAATTCTTTGTTATTCCGTCTATACCATAGAGGAAGGCATATGTTAATAAAGGAAACAGCACGTCAGCAAGGGCTTAGGTTAGGATATGTGGTTAATCAAATTTGGATCTAACAGTTATAGAATTAAAATCCAAGACAAAGATACATTAAATGTTGAATAAATGCAGTCACATTATAAACCATTTATAAGCAGAACAACTATTTTAGTTTCAGAACCAGTTCCTAACATCTTGACATGTTTAATGATACCATGTTTCCGTCCGATTGGATCATGTTAAACAGAATAAATAAATATGTATATAATAAATTAATGAGAATCTGAAATACAATCCGGAGGAAGAAGGTGTAAAATGCTTTCTGTTGTTTACAATATATCAAATACCAGCATTTTGAAGTTTAACCCTTTGTGGCCCAATGTTGCCCACAGGCAACAAAATGTTTTAGAGCTTTTATTTAATATATAGCTAGTAGATAAATATTCTTTGGATTTCATATGTCAAGACCTGATTATGGACGACACAAATCAAAAGAAAAATCTAAAAAATTCAAATTTTTGGTTATGTTATGAGCTTTTCAATATAGAGAAGAGGACAAAAAATGTGTACAGTACTAATTTGTGTATACAGTCCAAATTATTTAAATCGCTTCGTATTCGAAATGTACGAATTCTGTCATAAGAATTATTTTTGATTCTAATAGAACAGAATATAGAGAAAAATCGAAAATGATTTTTTCGTCGATTTTTCATATGGTTTTCTTGATATTGGGCTTTTATTTTTTAGAAATAATGTACTGTATCTCCCGAATGCGAGGATGTAGCGATGTAAAATTTTGTCCATATCCTATCTAGGATAGTTTCATTAAATCTGTGAACAGAAAATTGTTCTATGATTACGGAAAAAAATTCGGGGCTCAAAGGGTTAAATAGAACATGACGCCCAACATAAATTCGCACATTTTGAAAAAATAAACATTGCTGAACACCATCGCAATAGAACAAAGGCTTCAAATCCTCTGATTACTGTGATCAGACAGATCAGACTTTAAACTTCACCGAATTAAAATAATAATAGAAGTGGTTCGGTCATAGTTAAAGGCCTTGGAATGCCATCATTCATATATAGCAAATATATTTTTAAAATGAATAATTCTGCATAAACTTACAAGTAAAAAAGTGTCAGTCGGTGTTGCCGACAAATATGTAATTGATACATTGCAATTTTTGAAAATATTGAAATTTTTACCACTTGTGGGGGATGTACCAGAAGTAGTAGCAATGATCTGAACTTGTTAAAGATAAAAGGTCGTACAATGTTTGGTTCAAATTGGATAGTCCGTTCGCATGATATTATAAAATCAATTTAGCACAATTTTTACCAGAGGGAATGGACCGATATTTCCCATATTCGAACTTGAACTAAATTTGGTAGAAGTTTGGATGAAATCGGTTATTCGCTTCGAGAGCTATAGTATGCACCAGCCGGCCAGACAGACGGACAGTTGTAAATCGACTCCAAATTGTCTGAAACGGATTTGGCCCTAAGAAACAAGATATCTAAAAAGAATATTTTGATGAGGCACATGTTTGCCGTATCAAAGTGTATAAACCCTCACTAGCCATAAGGCTGAGGATGGTGTGAAGACAATTGATAATGATGTGACAACAATTTTCGTCATATAAATTTTATTTTCATTTGAACTTATGTAGTTTATCTATCAGAAATACAAATTGAACTTATGTAGTTTATCTATCACAAATACAAATGGATGGACATGGCGCCCAACAAAAATACAATCAACTTATACGTAAAATTTGGAAACACGACAATTTCGGCTACAAAATCCTTTTGAGAGGTATTGTGTTGTCACAGATAACTGACTTTTTCATATAGATAATTACCATATTATCAGCTGATACAATCACGAGGTAATTATAACCTATCTCTTAATATTATTACATCATTCGTCCGGGCCGAACTTTTTATTTAAGCTCTGAAAAAATATTGTTCCAAAATACACACACACTCAGGTGGAAAAACTGCGATTTTTATTTATTAGAAATCCGATATACCAAATTATAGCCACTTCAATGAGAGTATTCGGTTAACAACTTAATAATACCGAAAAGGAGGAGGGGTCTTTATGTGGTGGCTATATGGACAATTTTCTTCAATATTGTCTTCTACTCTCCAATATCCCAAATTACAGCCACTACAATGGGAAAATAGGTCTAAGTCTTCAAATTACTGGCAATGTCAAAGCATGGACATATGTAAATAATTTCCGGCATATATGTATGTTAGCCTTCAGGAATCCCTTACCAAAACATAAACCGTATTTGATAATTTTTGGTATGAAGTTTTGACATCCCTGGAGAAACTGAGCCAATTTGTTTAAAAAACCTATAATACCTTTATATGGGGGTTACCCGGAAACTTGGGCTAGTTTTGATTGATTTTGATAGGGATATTTTTTACTCAAATCAGAATTCAAAACTCCCCAAAAATTGCTGGTACGTTTTAACAGGGTTTGCCGTTATCAATGCCCCAAAAGCTTAAAAATACCGAATAATTGGTTATATGGCTCAATGGGGACCACCCTAAAAACTGGATCAATATTGATAATATTTCGTAGAATGAACACAGAAAATTATATTTGATTAGATTAAAAAGGGTGCCGCAAATACCTAAAATATCGAATATTTGGGCGTGTAGGGCGCATTTCAAAATATTATTAAGTTACCTCTAAAGTATATATATATATATATATATGTGTGTAAAACACTTTTAAATTCTTGCTAATTAACACACTCATACAGCTCCAAAAACAATTTGAATAATTTGAATCCTCTTCAATGATAATTCTGTGAATTTCCATGATGGGTGGGCAATGCGTATACATAATACAATATTAAGGATACGCACGACTATCTTAATTCTGGTATAAGTATAGAATAATGGGGTTGCCAGGCTGACTGGATTGTTTAGTTTTAAGCTAAACTTAATTTGTCCAGTCAAATTCAATGAAATTGGTTGTAATTTGGCATTTTGGGTTCTCATTAGGTATTAAATTCGGCATTATTCGAAATTTTGCTGATTTTAGACACTTTTTCAACCATAAATAGAGAAACAAAAATTTCATACTGTTTTGATTTTAAACACTGCTAAGATATAAAATAATTAATATTTGTCTATATATTTCATATTTTTTAATATTTGATTTTCAATATCTGATTTCACATTTGTTATCAGTATTCATAATGAAATGGATCATTTCACGATGAAATGGATCATTTCGTACTCCAAGGAAACCAATTATTACAATTATCTTCAGATGATCTGCTTTGATCGGTATCCAATAAATCATGACAAAATTATAAACTTCATGTAGTGATCTGATCAGCAAAAGTCATCACACCAGAACTCAAAAAATTGACCTATGGCGAATTAGTTCTCAGGTTTCACATACCAACTAATTTCATATAAAAAATATTTTTTGGTATTTATCGTCATCATATTTACAAGAAGACTTTACAGTTTTTTAGACATTTCACATTTTCTATCGACACCTTTCGGCTCTTCTACAAAGATATAAACCTAAAGGTCTTCTATAAAACCAGTAAGAGAAATAGTAAAGTCGGACTGGGCTGACTATATTATACCCTTCACCACTTTGGGTATTTCATGTCAATGGTCTCTCAATGAACGAATTGATGAACATTTCATACACAGGCCTATCTGCAACTTATGTGGGAGCTATATCTAAATCTAAACCTATTTTTACCCAATTTCACTAGGGTCCGCCTTTGGCCAAATGAGTGGCCTATTCCAAATTGTTATTCAATTTGGATCATAATTGCGACCTGTACTTTGTTTACAATTTAACGTGGAATGTAATTCTATGTATATTCTCAAAAGGAACCATGTGTCTGCACAAAGACATAATACACTGTACCACAGTGTGGTGAAGGATAAAAAATTTAAAAATGCAATCCTGCGGGTAAAAATGCTATTCAAACTATAACTCTGTGCAGAAAGATTTTGTGAAGTGGAAAATTTCATATGGGATGAAAGCGCTTGGCGAGTATTTTAAGAGCCGATGAAGACAAATTTGACATAGGTAAAGTTTTTGAGTTATGGCGTTATGTATTTTTTGCTTGTTATTTTAATGTTGCGCAAAGGAAAAGCTCAATATCTTTATTTTGAGACGACATGTCTCCAGCCAATATTTATTTTTTATCTCAAGTTTTTGTGCATATTTTTCGATCTCGAAATATTCCTCAAAAGATTTTTGATAAGGTCCTAAATAACAAGAAATCGGCATTCGTATGTTTCCAACGTCCTTTTCCACGCTCACACGATCTCTTTGGAAACTTTCGAATACATTTCATATTATGAAGAAATATCATAATTTATTCGCAGTATACAGATCCAGACCTCAAAATTGTTTAATATATTTTTTCAAGCGATTTGCCCTCTTGGTGTTTAATAAACTTTTATCTCTATGTGCTCGATTTTAGAAGACAGTTTAAAAAAAATATTCAGGAGCCCTACACATCGCTTTCAACCTTTACAGTTCCCATTTTCGTACAATAACTTTAAAATAAACCAAAATAATAAAAACAATTAATAATTTACCTCTGGTTTATATGGCATTAAGACGGCACTTGTCAAATTGCCAGCTAGTCCCGAACCTATATACAAGATGGCCGTTCGGACGGGTCCAATTAAACGCTCCAAATCGGCCAAGAACACATGTTGAAATATCACGGTTATCATTAAATGCAAAATGCCAGCGTGCATACACAGCGATGTAAAGAGGCGATAAAATTGATCGGGAACTTCGACATTTACAAATGGGAACATGCCGCAGACATTGTTCAAGCATGAGATCTGAAAGAGAGAGATAGACACAATATGATTAAACCCCTTAGAGCTATAAAGTATCCTGAGACTCACCTGTGAGCAAAGTGATGCCTCTTCGTGAAAATAACCATTTACAAAATCACAATATTCCCGTGTCGTTATGCGGCATTCACCATATATACCCGCACAGCAGGGATGACCAATGACCTCGCACACCATATGTTCGGCGGTGTGATCTTTGAAACGAAAACGTTGCGAGAATGAATTCGTTTTACGGCATATTGGCCATTTAGTAATGTCATCGGGCCATTCATATGGAGCTATGGAGGCGGGTGCATCACAATATTTGGGATCCAGACCGCATACAGAGCCCGAAATGCGACCGCCTGGCCCCGATTCACCGGGTGACCATTTCTTCCAAGTTGATATGGATTTCTGTAAAAATGAAATAAAAAAAAATAATATAGGAAGAAAAAATAAGTGGATCTTTGAATTCTTACCGTTGGAAACAGCCCCCTCACTGAACAGTCTGCCTGTGAACTTTGTACACAACCCGAATCGTCATTCCTTATACAACAGGCCGTCTCACGCTCCTGACGTCGGGTCTTCATCATTACATCTATAATTTTTACATCACGCCGCATACACGTGGCAAACTTGGCACCCATATGCACCAAATCCTGATTACGCGGTCCTATCCATATGTTGCGCTGCTCCGTATGCTGCACCGTTTGTAAACTGAGGCTGGTGACCAATACCTGGCCTGTGCGCTGTTCCACCCCAAAGCCAATCGGCCCAATGCCATAGCACAGTAGCGATAAAAATAATACGATAATTTGTACAGTATTAATCCAATAGGTGAAAAAGGGCCTATGATCGGTACGATCATCGAGATCATTAACACAGAATAGTTTTATTTTTTGCGCCATCGGACGACGGGAGTTCTCCAGAACACCATCAAGTATTTGTGATGAAATGCGATTGGCACGAATGCCGGGTATTTGGGGTTGTTGCTGAACCGCCTGTTGTGGCGAGTTGTCTTGATCCTGTACGGAGCCATGTAAAACCACAGCCTGTTGCAGATTGGCCGCTTCGTTGTGATTAACGCTGGTACTGTTGTTGGTGGTACGCCAACCCTGTTGGGCGCCATTGAATATTTGCGGTCCAGCGGTAGAGCGTGCTGCCGCCGTCGCCGCATTTCCATTAGGATTGTTACTGTTGGCCGGTGTGCCAGCGGCACCCGATGTGGAAGAGCCGTTGTTTGCCGTGTTGTTGGCATCCATGCCGGATGGTGAATCGAAGAAGACCTCGTCGTTCAGGGCTGCAACACCCTCATAGATTTCATTGTTTGCCCCGGCAGTGCCATCCAAATTCTGGACATTCTGTACATGAGCGGGAGCAAAACTGCGTGACCATTGGCGCCGTTGGCGGAAATCCATTTGCCGCTTGTTGAGGGCATTGACCAAATAGCTACAGCCTGAAACCAGCATAGACATAACGGATGGTTTGCGTTCCACATGATCGCCCGCTCGGAAGTCTATATTGTAGTAGGGATGGTGGAAATGATCCCGCTGATAGTGGCCGCGGCGCCTTAACACACCTCCACTGCCACCGGAACCAACACTGTCGTTGCCATTGCTGGTGTCATCATCATCGGCTGTGTCGGGCAGAATGTCAGGCCTCTCCGAGGCATGATGATGCGAATGGTTGTGCGAGTGGTTGTGATGGTGATGATGTTGTTGCTGCTGCTGACCCGCCTGTGCATGCTGCTGGTGGTGATAGTGATTGTGTGAATGTTGGGCGCCATTATTGAAACCAGAACAATGGGAATTTTGATTGGCACCACCGGCCGCGGAGCCATTGTTGTCCAGCGCACAGCCTTCAGGTATTTCAGCGGTTTCGGTTTTCAGTGTGCCAAAACGTCGTATGGCCAGACGACGTTGTCGACCCTGCCACAGGGCAAAATCTTCAACCTCGGTGGTAAGTTCAAGGCCGAAGAATCGCATAACCTCACGACGCATATATTCGGTGAATCGTTTTTTACACGAGTAGCGCTGTTGTTGTTGCTGCTGCTGTTGATTTATTGTGCTGAGAGCGGCGGCTGAGGCTTGGCCCTGAGGTTGTGTGGCCGGTGCAGCCTGTATTTGTAGCTGTGGCTGCTGAGCAAGTTGTACGGATGGTTGGGGATTTGCTTGCATGGCCTGGGCCTGAGGTTGAGGCTGATAGGTGCGCATGGCTGAGGGTACCATATAATGTTGTTCCATTGATGAGGCCTGGGCCTGTTGAGGCGACTGTTGCTGCTGTTGTTGTAACTGTAGCTGAAGCTGTTGTTGTTGCTGCTGCTGTTGTTGCTGGAACTGCTGCTGATTTTGATATTCCGCATTGATGATCTGCTGGGCCTGCTGCATCATTTGATTGGTACTCGATTTCAGTTGACTGTACATTTGCTCTGCCATCAGATCCTGTTGCTGTTGCTGCTGCTGTTGTTTCTTTTGGGTATTGAGCATGCGATTGACAAGCGGTTGTTGTCCCGGCGCCATAACATTACCGCCGACTCCGGTACCGCTGGCATTGGGCGGCGTTAGAGGTGTTAAGTGGTTCATTTCATTGGTGATGTTGCTGCTGTTGTTGGTGGTGGTCGTGTTGGCGGCATTGGTGGGTGTTAATGATGACATGTTCGCCAGCTGTTGTTCCAAATATCTTTGATTGTTGCCGGCAGTGTTTGTGCTACTGAGGGAACCACTGGAACTTGGTCCCGCCGCTGCAGCCCCTGCCAATGGTGTCGTTGGCATCAATTGAGGTACTGGACTAATGGGACCAGTTGTCTGTGTGGTCTGATGAACACCTGTGGTGCGTCGCACTGTCTTGCAGTGTAAACAGGTGGCGGCGGAGGTTGTCGAACTCCCCACAGCCGTTGAACTTAATACCAAACCGGTTGTGCTTCCCGTGGCTGCTGAACTTGACTCGTCTTTCCGCAGGCCACTGGTGGCACAAAGTCCCGCCACCGCTGCTGAGGCTACATCACTGACATTCTGTGACATTGTGGCACTTAGCGTAGAAGACATTTCCTGCATATCGTTCATAAGCGAACAGATACCAGTGCCGCTGGCCATACTGCGCTGATTGCTACCATAGACGGGTGGCGGTAGCTGAGATCGTGCCACGGTACTGGTAATATTCAGACTACTCTGGGGAGAACTGACACAGCCCACGGCGGTAATGGTGGCCACCATATGCGGTTGATTCACCACGCTACACTGGGTGGTCATCATACTGAAGGTCTTGTTGTAGGTGTGGGCTGCCGCCATTATACCCTGACCACCCTCACCACCACTTATCAAATGATGATGCACCACCGGAGAATCTTTGCCCGGTAGTTTAGAACCTCCAATTGCCGTGGGTCCACCATATTGGCTACTTCGTATTCGGGGCGATGAAGCGTAATGTTCTTTCGTTTGGTTTAGGCTGGACAGAGGTTGCAGTTCGCCACCGCTGCCAGCGATCTGCTGCTCGGATGAACAACATTTTAAATTTCGATTGCGATATGGCAGTGTACTGGGTGAAGACGAGGATTGAGGTCCACATTTCGTTGTGGTTACAGCCGATGGACCACCTGCATATTGTTGTTGATGCTGCTGTTGCAACATCTGTTGTTGTTGTTGCTGTTGATGTTGTGTCGAGGAGGCTTGTGGCTTACTGTAATGTCCATGCGAATGATGATCGGCAACGTAGAGCTCATGTGGTGGTGGTGGGGTGGGTACGTAACGTTTGACCGGTGTATGGGCCGACGAGGCCAAATAGCTGTAGGTATCGCTCGGCACCAACGATGTAGGGCAATTTTTCAAATAATGACTCGATGAGTTACTCATAAAGCGTCCCGTTTGGTTTGGCACCCCAGGCGCAGCTACAGTGGCATTTGTGTTCGAGGAGGATGAGGAGGAGGCATTGGAACCGGTATTCAAATCACGATAACGATGATGTTCGCCATTCAGACGATAACGGCTGGTGTTGGGCGATGCAGAACGTTGCAGGTTCTGCATTGTCTGTCCCGCGCCACCATATTTCAGTCCATGATGGCTGACACGTTGCAATGAGGCGTTCATTGGTCCACAGGCAATAGCTGATGCCCCTACCGATGATGAACAGCTACCCAAACCTCCGGTTGATATTGACGAGTTCGAGGTGGAAGATGACAACGTTTGTTGGTGGTGGTGGTGCTGCGACTGTTGTTGTGGGTGGTGATGGTGATGATGATGTGCGGGCTGCAAATGATCATCACCGGGGTGGCCATCACTGTGACCACTGGGTGGTGAGACCACACATGTTCCATCAATAAATCGATCACTGTTGGGCGCCGGTGAGGGTGGTGGCAAACTGCAGGCCAACGAGTCATCGTAACGTTCTATCGGTTGCAGACTTAGTTTGACATGGGGTGGTGGATGTTGTTGTTGCTGTTGTGAATGATGTTGTTGATGATGCTGTTGGTGCTGCTGCTGTTGTTGTTGCTGTTGATGTGTGTGCGAGTGATGTAGGTACAATTCATTGGGATGTGGGCTAAAATGTCCCGGTGATATTTCAGTACCACAGTCGGAGGTTATATCCGAACTGCATTGTAATGTGTTGCCCATCAATTGTTGCTGATAGCTAAGGGATGATTTTCGGCGCAGTGTTGTACTGCTGCCCACACAACTGGAGGCAGAGGCAGCAGCAGAGCCATTGTTGCCACCACCACCACTACTACTGAGCGACAACTGTGTCATGTGTGGTGGCAGGACGCTACTGCTGCTACCACGTCGATTCATAACCGATGACAGATGTTGGTGTTGATGTTGGTGGTGTTGTTGCTGCGCCTGTTGTTGGCTGTGATGGTGATGCGATGACTGTTGCTGCTGCTGCAACTGCATTTGCATCTGTGAGTGTTGTTGTTGTTGCTGCTGCTGGTGATGGTGCTGATGATGTTGATGCATATGCTGATGATGCATCTGTTGTTGTTGTTGCTGCTGCTGTTGTTGTTGGCCATTGTTGTGCGAATGCCCATGACCATGTGATGATGAATGCATTTGATTGTGATGATGATCCGTTTCACAGCTACCAATATTCGAGCACAATTGATTGGCTTTTGGCGAAAGCATATTTTGCATGGTCGTTAATATTCTGGAAAATTGGAAAAAAATAGAATGGAAATTATTATAAATTATGAAGAGAAACAGTTGGGAGAAGTCCTTTGTGGTAATATTAGCTAATATATAATTCTATACAGAGGAAAATAAATTCTGAAGCCATTATATTCAAAAGAGTTTGGATGAGGTCAAAGTTGGACATAGCAACGTGGAGCACAATCTTGACTGGGATATAAACCTTGTTTTGGAACAGGTTTAAAAATTGGGAGTCACAATATCCCTGATAATTCTAAATTTTATTTATCAGCGAAAAAGAAATAAATCTTATTATAATTAAAACCTCTTCCTGAAAATTGTAGAATTTTAAATATTTTAGAAATATTACAAAGATTTTTTTTAATTTTGTGAGAAAACTATTTCAAACAGTGCGATGTCGCCAACAAAGAAATACGAACTGGTAAAACGGATTATTATCATTTAATTCTCAAATTACTTTCTTTTCTACAATACACATGCTTCTTAACTGCCTCAGCTATGAATCATGGAAAATCCACATCAATTAGGAATTTCCAATTATTGGAAAAATTCTCAGAATAAACACAATTCGCTACATGGACATATTATTTCTGTAGATGTGTTGTTGTTGTGTGTAAAGTAAACTATTATAACGACTAGTTGAATATATTGATTTTGTGATTTGTTTAAAGATGCTAATATCTGTCTCCAATAACGATCAACGATACTAAGACTCGTAGTACAATTAAAACAACTTATATCCTCATTACTTCAGAACTTTTAATATAATCGAAGACTACAACCCCAAACTACAGGGGATGTTTCTACTGTAATTACCTCGTCATCAATATAACGAGGTTGTTGGAATAATATATATTTATACGATTATAATATGCAAATTACGGCGATAGATATATTAGGTTGGGGAAAAAGAAAACCGTTATTTTTATATAAACTACAGGATTTTATTTAACATGCTTCGGATTGTCGAATTTTTTATCATTAAAGAAATTTTGCAATACAAGAAAAAGATGATAATCGCTTGGTGCCATGTCCGGACTGCATGGATTCATTCAAACTTCCCAACCAAGCTCCCGAAGTTTCTGGCGAGTCACTGTAGATGTGTGTGGCATAGCGTTATGCTGGTGGAACACGACACCTCTCCTGTTGGCCAATTCTGGTCAATTGCTATCTTCAAAAGGTCCAGTTGTTGACAATAGAGATCAGAATTTAGCGTTTGGCCATATGAAAGCAACTCATAATAAATAATCCCCAAATGCATAGCAGAACCTTCCTGGCCGTTATTCCTGGTTTGACCACCGTTTGAGGTGCTTCACCGTTGTTTGACCACCATCGTTTTCACCATTCGTTTAAGAAATGGATCTAACTCATTCCGTTTGGCCAAGGCTTCGCAGATGGGAATTCGATCCATCCTATTTTTTCCGTTAATTGGTGTGGCACCCAAACATCGAGCATCTTTTTGAACCCAGCTTTGTGTAAATGATTTAAAACAGATTTATGGTAGATTTTTGCTCCTGGGCGATGTTACGACTGCTAATATACTGGACAACTTCGATCATTACTCCGATTTTATCGACAATTTCGTCGACAGGCCTAATGGATTTCTTTTTCCCCAACCTAATATAATTTATGTAGTACTTTTTGAGATTTTGGTTATTCAGAGATCTTTGTGATTAGGTTCTCACAACAAGATAGTTCGAACAAGCGACATGTCAATCCGAAATTAAAACAACATGCAGCAACTAGAAAAATAATTGCTAATACGCCTAACAGTCCAAAACATCCCATAGTGGAGAATCCAAAAAAGCAACAGGAAGAAAAGCTTATTGGTGGACTCTTCAAAGGTATTATTATTCATATTGTACTTATTACACTATGAGTATCCTTTATAGGGTTCCATTACGTATGTGTTACTAACGAAAATTGAGCCCTTTAAAATTAATGTCATTGAATATGAAAAAAGTAATAACTGAATTCAAAATCAAAATATGTATATATTTTTAGAATAACTAGGGCAGCATGATTTAAAGTTGTTGGAGTCTTTTATGTATTAATCCGCTTGATCGACCAGAGGCATCTCTAAAATTCGATGAAAAATATTGTTCTGTGAACGAACTTCTCAAATAGTTTGTATTCGGGTCTGACACAATAAAGGTGCCTGACTTCGTGGTTAACAAGACATTTGCAGAAGAAGTCAGGCACCAACGAACTTCTCATTGAGGTGGTATCGCTGGTAACGTATGTACTTCAATTTATTGTTTACAAAAACAACAAACTGGACTTAAGCCTGAATATTTTGCAATAACAAAATACAAATGGTATCCCAAATAACCCGCCAACACTACTGGTATAAATAATCTTTGAATTGTTACTCAAATAGTTCTGAATTCGGATGAGATTTTAGATATTAGTCAAATCTTCCACTTTAAATACAGTCACGCCTTAATGGCAATGAATGAATGGCAATAAATAATAAGGGTGGGCAGGGCATACAATAACATGAACCATTAATCAATGTCTACAATATTGGTCATGTCAGAGACGTTTAATCGAACTTGAAAAAGAATTAATTCGAAAACTTTCTACATGCTATTCTTACGCTTTGAAGTACTCTTTATATAAGTCTGAGTCGGAGTCGAGTTAAAAAAATTCGATTAGAATCAAAGTATAGTCAGAAGTAGCTCCACTTCTCACCATTGTATATTTAAACATAAATTCTCGACGGTTTCTTACCGAAAGCGGTAGTAAGTACATCATTCCCGAGTTATGTGTAAATTTTGTATAATATCCTTAACAATTATCGGCATATTTAACGGTTACGTTAACTGAAGAGAAAAGCTAATTTTTCCCGGAATTCTGTAAATATGAACCTTATTATACCCTTTACCATAAGGTGGACATTTTATATGGCCATTTGAGATGAACGATACCGCATAATAGGGGAATACGGTCATATAGGGCATACGCCGAAAATTGGGTTAATATTGATCACTTTTGGCAAGGAAATTTTCTAACTAATCAGAATCCACAATACTAAAATGCAACAAAATTGGTTGGTAAACTTGACAAACGGCTTTGCTGTTTAAAAATATTGATTATTTTTTATAAAAAGATTTACTACCCATCGGAAAACCGAAATAACAAATAACAGTCAATTCGGTTGAGGACTATGCCAAAACGGAGACCGATATGTAACCATTTTCATATTATAAATATTGTGATCTCCATCGTTATTTCTATTGACAGGTGGTCATGGCTAAACCAAACAAGAATTTTATGTATGGGGTCTACGGTGCTGCAAACGGAATATCAAATTTAATATAGCCTCCATACAGTGAACGTCTTCAAAATATAAAGATGCGCATGAAGAAAAATAATTCTTCAGACCTATGTCTATACTGATTACTATGGAATTCATCCTTGAGTTTCGAAATTGAATGTACCCTTATATACGAACTATGACAAAAGTCTCTGTGCGCAGATATTTTACTCTTTGAGAATCCGACATGAAAAATTGTATAACTTAAGGGCTTACGATAAATATTTCTGTTAGATAAAAAATGGAATGAAATGAAATGTTTCATATATGGTGGGGTCTATAATTAAAAGAATCATTATTTGATCCCACTGTTGAAGCTGCCGTAGGACCACAGCTGTGGCTTCGAAATAATGCGCTCTATACGAAACATCATTCTGAGATTGTTTTTTTTTTTACAAATTCTGTAATTCAAAATTTTTTAATAAACAAAACGAAATTTGCAGAGGCAAGAGGATTTGACGAAGGACGTCTCATTTTCATTCTATGGCGTCTCTGGGATGATATCAGCAGAGTAAGGATATTGATCATTGATATTATTAATTCAGCCCAGTCATGAATATGCAAAAGAAATTGGATCCTCAAGAAAATTATTTTTTTCGTGGATTGGATCCTCTGATCATGAATACTTTGTTCTTTGATATGTCGAATATCATTTGCTGTTTTTTTAAAGAAAATGGAATCAAATTGTTCTGAACAAATAAAACTATAATTATTGAAAGATATGATTTTCTAAATGTTTTACAAAACAAAAATGTGGTTGAGGTATGTGATAATATTTTTTTGTCCTGTCATTTATCGGTCGAAAAGATTTTGAGCGCCCAAATAGCAACCAAATTAGCAAAAAAAAAAAAAACACAAGTTTGAGAACGTTAACGACATCTATTTTTTTCTATGAGGATTGATTTTCCTTGTGGATTTTCTGTTCATGATAGAAGAAAAATGAAAAAAGAAAAATTCCTTACGGATTTGGTATTCATGATTGTGCTGATTAAATATATCTAGAGATTGGGAGATTGATTAACAATCGGCATAAAGTCTTTGGCTCGGCATTTAGTTCCCTGGAATGTTGAAGTGCCATTCTAAGCATCATTAATATATTACTTTATCTGCATCTGTATTTCGGAAATGATGACCATGGCCCTGGAATTATCGAGAAGTGCAATATAATATACTGAAGATCTGAATAATGTTTCTGTCAATCCCATTTTTAATCATATC